AGTTATTTTTCATGAGCTTTGACTGTCATATGAATGTTTCACAAAGACATTAAACATCTGAAATTGAAATTTACAGTCACTACAAACTTTATTCCTCTACAAAATATAAGAGAACTATAAACTAAAAAAAATAATCATTTTACGTCACCACTGTGGACCCAAAACACGAGTTGGTGGTTTAAACGGCAAGCAAATATACACTAAAACACATTCATTTCTTCCCAGACTTCTTGATGCCACCTCCAGCTACGGAAAGAAAACAAAACAGAATTGCTTGTTGTGTGGAAAAACACAAAAACTATATAGAAAGATTGTGTGGTGGCTTTATGTCTCTTACTTAAAGGTCCTTTTCCAGTAGCCTTGGCTTTCAACTGTTCCATTGCTTTCTGCTCCTCTTTCTGTTTCTGTTTGAAAGCCATGTCCTCCTGTAGGTACGGGTAATGAAAATGCACAAAGCATTATTTCTGAATTTCCCTAGTCATTACTTCACTCTAAGCAGCTTATCTGTATTCTCAGTGTTTATGTAGAAACACTTCAGCAGAAACCTCGATGTACAAGTGAACTTAACTTACATCGTCCATATCCTTCGACTGCTTTTTGGCAGCCTTGAGGGGTTTCTTTTTACCTCCTGCATAAATAAGTATTTGGATACCATTATAACATCAATAAATAAAAATAATACATTTGACAAAAAATGTTTAATATACACATTTATTAAAATGAATGATGAGTTTTAAATAGATTTTCAGTGTAACATTACAAAGAGACACCAACCCACTCATTAAAATGTGAAATGTCTTAATACGGCTAATGCTGATAGCATCGTGAATATAAAGATAAACAACAAGTTAAAGATCATCGGAACTTCTCGTTTTTATTTTATGCGACGTTCTACTACGCGATGAAACGGTTTTTGCATTTTATTTGATTTTTACCTTCTCTTCCAGACATACTGCTCAGATTATTCAACGAACGCTTTTTTTCGAGTCAGTCCTCGCTGCAGCCTCTCTTGTTTTTTTCCGCGCTGTTAAAACCCCAGCGGTTACCCGGATGTAGTGTTCCCGTCAAGTGCCTGATTCATCTTAGCGAATCGGTTCGTTCGGACGGTTAATCGAAATGAACTGGATCATAAGCTAATTTGATTCGTTCGAGTCGTGGAGTTCCTAGAACATTCGGACACGGTTTCCCCCCCCGCAATCTTATAATCTCCCCACTGTTGTTTGTTTTGGTTAATGCTATATAAAAAAAAAATCGTATAGTCGAGTGATTTGCAAATGATTCGCGAATCGGTTCAAATGAATCGTTAAAAAATGAATCTTTCGAAAAGAGCACCACCAGCCAGTGCCTGAAAGAAATGCTCTCATGCAGCACGATGACATTTCAGGAAACTAGACAGAAATATTATATAATATACAGCCTTTAAACATGAGAAATTACTGACCCGAGCAGAAACGTCACGAAACGGAGAATCGCTGGTATGAGTTTGGTTGGTTCTTGTCCTGAAATTAATTCAGTTAGAAATGTAAACATTGTTTGCCGATTCATTCATCAGCTCGACAATCAGTTTAAATTAATTTATAATAACAGTTTCGGGACCAATACACATATAACAGCAACATCAGCGTCATACTTACTTTGAACCTAATTATTTTTCTGTAATTCACTTGTAAATTACCAACATGGACAACTTTAATTTATGTTGTGTTACTGACTTTCAAAAACGAAACTAAATTTAAGTAAATGTCCTATTTAGCCTATATTTATCATTGTCAACCTCTCTATTTTTTTTGTATTTGCAAATGCAAACAAAGTTAGCTAGTGGAGCTAGAAAACATCCATCTTTTTTTT